CACGGGGGTCCCGAGGACAGGCCGCCCCGCGCCTCCCTCCCCCCACCGCCTGCAGGGGGCAGATCTGCCTCCCCGGGTCCCCTCCTCCATGCTGACCCCGGCCAGGGGCACGCAGCGGCAGTTGTCTCCTGCCGTGAAGGCTGGAGGGTCTGCAAACAGCAAGTTCGTGGCCGGCAGCTCCCAGTTTAGGCCCCCACAGCTCGGCTGTGTGTGCAGGACAAATGGGCACAGCCTGCCCTGCAGGGTCGGGTCAGCGTGTCAGCCCAGAATCCTGGGACAGATGAGCGGAACTGTGGGACCAGGGTGTGTTTGTCCCTAGCGATGGCTGGCACACACCAGGCCCTGCAGACAGGTTCGAAAGGGCCGGCCCACGTTGGGGGAAGGAGTGGTTCAGACAGGATGCCCATGGCTGGGAGAGGCCCGGGCCCCAGATAGGGCAGCGGCGCCCCGGGGAGGCCGGGCCTCGTGTGTGGCGGCCCGCGGAGGCCCACCTTGAGCAGCAGCTGGTACTTGGTGATTCTCTGGACGGGCTTGAGCAGGTAGGAGTCCAGGCTCAGCTTGTGGTCCAGCTTCCTCTGGCACTCCTGGACCAAAAAGCCGTGGGTTTGCAGGGTCATCACGACACCCGGCTCAGGCGTCCACTAGCCGGGGAAGGGGCCGAGGCGTACCTGGAAGAACGGGCAGTCGGAGCACTGCCGCCACAGGCTCTCGGAGCGCGGCTTGTTCTGACAGTACTTCTCGTAGATCTGGAAGTCCTCCATCTGCGGGATAGATGCGGCGTTACCAGGCGCCTCCCCACCCAAGGCTTCCAGGCTGCAGCCCAGTGCTGGTGACGCCTCTGGGGAGGCCTGCCATTCACCGTGGAAGGTACCCCAGTCCCTGACTGCCCGGGGCACAGGCGACAGGGGTGATAGGGTGCTGCCCCCTCTACTCTGCAGCGGTGGCTTATGGGACATCTGGTGATTGTTTATGTCATTGAACTTCCAGGATTTTCTCTGGCAGCTTTGCAAATTACACAAGTTATTTAGCAGAAAACTGACATGAGCCCTCTGTGAAGTGCAATCGCCCCCGGGATCCTCTAGGGGCGCCAAAAGTCCCAGGTCACAGAAAGTTCCAGGACACAGAGGGTTCTAGGTCACAGATGGTTCTAGGTCACAGAAGGTTCTGGGTCACAGAAGGTTCTAGGGGCACAGAAGTTTCTAGAGTCACAGACGGCTCTAGGTCACAAAAGGACACTGAAGATTTTAGGTCATAGAAGTTTCCTGGGGCACAGAAGATTCTAGGGGCACAGATGGTTCTAGGTCATAGATGGGTCTAGGTCACAGAAACTCCCAGGGGCACAGGAGGTTTTAGCGGCACAGGGGGTTCTAGATCACAGAAGGTTCTAGGTCATACAAGTTCCCAAGGCACAGAAGGTTCCAGGGGGCACACAAGGTTCTAGGGCACAGAAGGCTCCAGGTCACAGAAGGTTCTAGGTTCAGGGGCACAGAAGTTTCTAGGCTATAGAAGGTTCTAGGGCATAGGAAGTTCTAGAGTTACAGATAGTTCTAGGGCACACCAGGGTCTAGGGGCACAGATGGCTTTATGGGTGCAGGTGGCCAAGGGTCACAAGGAGTTCCAGGGCACAGAAGCTTCTAGAGGTGGTCTTGCAGGAGACCTAGCGATCTCTCTTCCAGGTGCACAGTGAGGGAGCAGGCAGGGTGGGCTCCCCATAGCTGCACCCACCTCACCCCCTCTCCCCTTCACTCTAGAACCTTCCTGGCCTGGCCGTGGGCTTTGAGCAATGCCCCTCTACCCACCCAGAGCTGGAGCAGGGCCCCAGCTGGCTAGGAGGCTGTGAATGGACCCGGGGCCGGGCGGCTTGTGCTGGGGCTGCCCCACGGGTGGTGTCACTGTCGTGCCTGGACAGGGAAGGCGTGACCAAAGGGGACGGAGCCGCAGCCCTCCTGGGGAGGTGTGATTGATGTCCTCCGTGGGCTGGCGAGCCACATGTGGCCTGGCCGCGTAGCCTGGGAGTCATGCATGTCAGGGCCACCTGACCCCCTGCTCGGGGCCTGCTTCTCCCCAGGGGTGGGTGGAGCGCATTCACCCCAGAACTGGGGAGGGCTGAAGGGAGCCCCCTGAGCTGCCTCGGTGCACCCCGCCTGTCCCTACCAGTGTGGACATCTCTGGGCTCCAGGCCACCCTAGACGCCAAGGCCCGTGCTGTTTGCAGCCAGGCGGCAACTCCCAACACAGGCTCACTCCTCAGGTGTCAGCCAGCACTGCTCTCCCCACCTCACAGCTCAGTGTGGCTGGCTCCCACGGAACAGCAGACTGTGTGAGGGCACAGGCTGGGCCACCAGACCCTGCGGCCTAGAGAGTTTGGGGAGCCCCGTGGACAGCACCTGCTCAAGCCGGGGTGCATATGGAGTCACAGGTGGCGCCTTAAGCATGGATTCTCGCTCCGGTGGGGTGACTTGCAGCCCATGGATCTGCATTTCTGGCAAATTCCCAGGAGATGCTGAGGTTTCTGGGTGGGGAACCCCACTTTAAGAATCACCTACCTCCTGCACGGATGCTCCCAGTCCTCAGAGGGCACCGAGAAGCACACCAGCTGCCGTGCTGTGTTGAGAGCCGTGTCACCCCTCTCTTCCCTTTTGCCCCTTGTACCAATTCACTACCAAGAGCCACAGCCTCTGCTTCTTAATTTATGAGAATGATGTAGCCTTACCGCCAAGAGCAAGCGACCTTTCCCTTTGCTAAGTTACAGGTTCACAGCGATCAGCATGGCAGGCCTGAGGGAACGCCAAGCGAGACATGGCCCACATTCCAGCCCTCCTGCTCCCAACACTGTTCCATAAGCCCCACCACAGCCCCACGAAGGGGGCAGATGGCTGCCATCTCGAAGAGGAAACTCAGGTTCACAGAGGCTGAGGGAGCTGTCCAGTGTTACCCAGCACGCAAGGAAGCCTCAACCAGGCAGACCCAAAACGAGAACCAACCAACCCATGAAGAAAGTTCAGCTTCAGTTAACACTTGCCTTCAACCCCACAGCACTACACGCTTTCAGCCCTCCCCAAAGCTTGTGCTTTACAGTTTTTCTCTTTTTCGAATTAGTTATTCAACTATTTTTTTAAAAACCTGTTCTTTCAGGCCTGCCAAGAAATATCATACCACTTCAGCCAAATTGAAAACATTTGTACTTGCTGATTCCAGTAGCTTAGAATGGGAACTTGCAGGAGAATGGAAAGTCATCATCATACGGTAATTTTAAGAAGTCACGACGAAACACACACTGGAGAGTACATACCCTCTCGAGAAAGCACCTTCCCACCAGCTCCGGGCAGTCTATGTAGCCTTCCAGCTCCCTCAGGAATATCCTGGTCAAAGAAGGTTCTCAAGTCACACGACAATCAGCCTGAACCGGACGGCACCAGTAACACGCGGAGGGATACTGCTTTCCAGAAGGCTCATCTGCTTCACTCTGGACCACTCAGCCCACCTTGGGGACCCTGAGCCCAGGCCTGTCCCTCCTGACCGGACCCGTGAGCTCTCAGCGTAAGTGGACACTGCCCTCGATGTTTCTGGTGCTGGCACAGAGGCTGGGGAGCACAGCTTTTACACCAAGTCCTGGGTGGGACGTGGCCACGGCCAAGACAAAGGGGGCACTTTGGGGCCCTGGAGGAGGCGCCGCCCACAGTGGCCACAGTCTTGGTTTCTCTGTGGACACGGCCCAGAGCCTCAGCCCTGCCCTATGCAGCCCTGTTCCCACGCACGTGGGCTGATTTCTGTCCCTTTCTGATTGTGTTTGTTCCCTGGGGGGACCCTGGCAGGAGGGTGAGCTGCCTGGGGTTCAGGCCGGGCACGAGCACTACAGCTTTGGGCGGCAGGGCCCTGCCTGAGGACAGATCGTGAGGTCAGAGACTGGATGTGTGTCCAGTCCCAGGGGCCTGCCTGGCCTTGGTGAGGGGGCGGTTCCTCTGGGCCCCTGTGGACCTGCTGCCTCCTGCCTAAACAGTGGGTGGTATGTGCCATCCACGGGGCTGAATGGCAGTGGACAAAACCCCAAGTGTCTCTGATTCCCACAGACAGCTGGGTGTGCCGGCCCCAGACACTCTGCGGAGCGGTGCCATGCACGGTCTCCTTCCAGGACGCACGGCCTTCCGTGGCCCTCCGTGGGGCTTGGCACAGCCTGCCCACCCTCGTCTTCCCATGGGCTCACCACACATTGTGTTAACGTGGCAGAACAGTGGAGAGGGCCGTGAACGCGCAGCCAGTGACCATCCACGCTTTGCCAAAGCCATGGAGAAGCCACAAGTTGCTCGAGGGACAGCCCACAGCAGAGCGTGACGAGGACCTGGCGCTCCGTCCTCCTGGAGGGCGGGCTTGGGAAGAGAACTGACCTTGCCAAGTGGTGTGGCTTTGGTGACCCCCAAGGACCAAATGCACACATGGGGTGGCCTGGCTTCCGCCTGCCCGGCAGGACCAGAGGGCCCAAGGGGCAGGTGGCTCCTGTCCCCCTGCACCGCACGGGATGCACTGGGGCCTCAGCGCACCCTCCTCACTGCAGGAGGCTCCTGTGTGGCTCACCACCGAGCACAGGCTTGGGGCAGGGGGCCACGGGGCGCTCGGCGACAGCTGGGCACTGCACTTGCGCCCATGGCCCTCTGAGAGCTCGCACCCTGGAGAGAGTCCTGCCCGCCCGGCTGGGCACGCCAGGGTCTCCCGGTTCCGGCTCCTGAAGCCGCTGGCTGGAAGCCGGTGAGCCACAGGGACGTGCATGCTGGGGGAAGCCCACCTGTTATGAAAGTGGTATATTTCCTCCATGTTTCCAAACAGCACATCCTTCTTGCTGTGCAGGCCCGTGGAGATGAGATGCGACATCAGCGGGTTATCCATCTCGGCGGCGTAGCCCTGTGGGGAGAGCGAGGGTCGGCCGGGTGGAGCGGCCCAAACCCGGCGCCTGGGCTCAGGCTGGGACCGCGCCGCGCCGCTGGCCCGCCATGGGGCTGTGGGCCTCGGGGACTGAGGCTGGGGTCCTCGGGGACTGGCGGGCGGGATGCCAGCTCAGCCGAGAGCCAGACCATCGCGCACGTTCACAGAGGGTGTCCACGAGGTGACGTGGACAGGCGTCCACAGGTGCGAGGCGTCACGTGGACACATGCTGGGATGCGGGCAGGTGACCCTCATGCCTACCTCTTCATGTCAGGCGCAGCACACGCAGGGGGCACAACTCCACGCCCACACGCATGTCCCCACCCCAGAGCACACCTCCGTGAACCAGACACCGTCTACATCCAGTCACCACCCCTTCCCCCCGCGGACCCGCCGGGATGCCCTCCCCCACACGCTCGGCGATCAGACCCCCGCATCCTGCAGCGGTCCTGAGAGGAAGCCGCCAGCAGGGGGCGTGGCCCCACCAGCCTCACCTCCAGGACACACAGCAGCTCCTCCACGTAGGCCCGCTCTGTGTCTAGGAGCTCGTTCATCACGTGCCTGCAGGGTGAGCCAGGGCCGGTTACAGCGGGGATGGGCTCGCCGACGTGCCCCGGGGATGGAGGGCCCGCGGCACTGGGACACGGAGGACGCGCCCTGCAGAGGGCATCCATCGGAGGGAGGCCCTGTCGTGGCCGACGCCTTGTGGCTCTGTGCCCCACACCCGATGGCTGTGGCCCGCCCACCCCCCCCATCCAAGGCCAGTCAGGATTGTCTCGCGCCCCCAGGCCTGGCCCTGGAGGCCTGGCAGAGCGACCTCCTGTCCCTAGTCCCGGGTTGGGGTCCCGCCCGCGCAAGATGAGCTCAATTCCTCCCGCTCCCAGCCAGTCATCTCAGCCCTCGGGCCAGTCCAGCTTCCTTACGAGCCTCCCTGCGCTTCCCTCTGCCAGGGAGGCCCCTGGGCCCACCTCGGCCTCCTCAGAGCCCTCCCCGCACAGCCGATGTGCAACTTCAATGCAGCCTCGGGGCGCAGCTCTGGCCTCACAGTGGCTGCTCCCCCACCCA